TCGAGAAAGCAAACTGAGAAAGTGACGGGAATGTGGATGAGAAAAAGCCAGACGGTGAAGTTCCGGGAAGAAGAAAGAGAAACCATGTGGATGCGTGACACGTGTGTACTGGAAAAAAGGAGTTAATATTCGCATGCATCACATTAAATTACGGTGTACGTAATCAACAAATGGAAAATCGCCACGTTATGTATAGTTTGCCACATCGCCAAATACCTCCCGCTACTTCAAACACTTCGTGAAGCCACGATCGTTGATTTAATCTTCTTGGATTCAATAAAATAACTGTTAAATTAAATGGCTATTTTCGTATAACTGGAAATACTAGGGACTGATTTGAAATTTAAAAATACGAGTCGGCAATCTTTTTTTTTGTTCTTGGGCGGGGCCAGGCGCGAGGGAAGGGATCCAAATTATCCAACTCGTAAATTCTCTTTTTTTGGTGGGAGAAATTCGTAAATCCTTTTTTTTGTGAACAGAAAATTTTCTGCGGTGTGTTCTGAATCAAAACCCTACTCTCTCGAAGAAAATTTCTAGTTTTACTCAAGCTTCTCTAATGGCGGATGATGGATCTTTGTCTAATCGAAGAGACCCAATAAAGTCTTCAGGTGATTTTTAATTTCTTCGCTTTCGGTTTTTGGCCTTGCGTAGTTTCTGTGATTGGAAAATCTTGACCTGGGGAGAAGTAAAGGAGACGTATTTTAGGTTTTTTCGTTCTGGGTTTTATGGTAAACCCTCGAGTAGTGTCACTGAGGAAGTGTGTTCTTTGATTGATTCCCGAAAAAATTAGGTTAGGTGGTGATTAGGGTAAGAAGAAATATGAGTGCTTTATGCTTTAGTGTGATGGATTTTCAATACTACGAAAACCAGAGTTTTTTATTTGCCTGGTGTCGTTATGATGCACAATGTTTCTGTTTTTGCATCCGGAGAAAATGTTTTGAGGAAAGCAATCAATTTGGAAACTTCATTGTATTTGGTTTCTCTCTGATTTGTTGAAAGAGCGTTTCTTCTCTTGTTGTGTCTCTTTCTTGCTGCAATTTTGATAGTCAGGGAATAATGATAGCATCACAAATTAGCTTTATAGTATTGGTTCTCATGTATTTTGATGGGCTTGTAAAACTTTTGCATATCTATATATGTACTTGTAGAACGATTGGACTTTTTCAATCGGTGACATGGATTTGATTGTATTTCTGGATATGGCGGTGTGTAGTTGGGAATGTTGCGGGACAAAGAAGGCGGCAACAAGCTGTTACGGTGGCAAAGGAAAGAAGAGAATTACTGGTGAGGGCAAAGCGGCTTTGTAGGGTGGGTACTAATGGC